TAAATGCAATCCTCTGACATGTGAGGTGTGACTACACCACCATTCTTCTCTTCAATGGTCAAATTGTTACAAAGAGCCTCATCCTTTCCAGGGGGGTATGAATGGCAGGTAACTCACACTGTAATGTTTGTGTGTGTGAATCTGTAGATGCAGTTCCATCATGATGCTAGGCCTGAAATTCAGGAGCTGTTTTTTGGGAGATTTATTTGACTCTGTTTAACAGTTTGTGCTTGAATTCTCTCAGTGCAGCCTGAGCTGTTGGTGAGAGCCCCAGTCCCTCTGGCAGGGCAGGGGTGGCCATGGCCTGACCACCACCCTGCACAGGCAGCTTTTACTGAGTCACATTCTCTAACTGTGCCCTTGCAGTGTTCTCTCCTCAGGCATTTCAGTGCCATTCCTCCTGTTGTTTCCTTTAATATTCATATTCATATTTTTTCAGTGTTGGCAGGTGTGTATTTCACATTAACATGAGGGGTTTTTTGGATGTTAGACTGCTATTTGCTTATGGTAATTTCCAGTCATCGTAAGGTGACTGTTGAGAGAGATGAGGAGAGAGGAAAAAAATTGTCAGGCATTTACAGTAAATACTCTCTGCTTTTGGAAACGCTGTCAGAAGTTTAATTGTTAGGTTCAAGTAAGTTTGTCATGTGCCAGACAGAATCAGTCTGCTGTAATGAACGGGTTACACACTTCAGCAGCAAAAAGGGAGAGTGAGAAACCAAGGGATGCTCAGAATTTCCTGTCACCTTGCACTGCAGAAGGAACAGGGTGGGCTTTTTAACCTAGCCTGTAATTAGGTTTTGCATGGAAGCATATATTACTGTGCTCGCTTTGCCAAAGCTCTTCAGTATGATGGATGAGATTTAAAGGTTGATCTGACTAAATTGCAATGAGAATACTAACGACAAAGATATTTCTGTTGTGAACTATTCCTACCAGACATCATAGCTGTGACAGAAATGGTGTAAAGTAATGGACAATAAAAGTCACTTGAAAATAATACTCTCCTAGGATTGGGCTGCCTTCCCCAGAGCACATAGCCTGAACCACAGTGATAATGTAATCATAAGCCCTGATCATCATTTAAATATATAGGTAATCTCATAGAGCATCCTGGCAGATTTATTTTATGAGCAAGGAAGAGGAAGAATACTATTGGGCAGTAGAGAGGAAGAAATTGGTGCTGATGTGGTTGTGTTTGTTGTGTAAAACAGTTTGCATTGCTCCAGCCTTTGGGGAGCCTGCAGTGAGGAGCTGCAGCCTGGCCCCCAGATATCACAGCTGGCTGGGGCTGCTGCATGTGCACTGCTGTATCTCAGTCCTTGACAGGTCCCTGTGTGTTGGGGGGAAAAGATGGGCATTTGTGCAGTAAGTTAACTCATATACTTGACTGGTTTTAATCAGCTCGTGGATTTCTGGAACCAGGTATGACTGGCCGTTCTGTTTGGGTTCGTTTTACACAAGGTACCCAACAGAGCTGCTTGGCTCCCCCCAAAAGTCCCCGTGTGGAGGGAGGATAAGAGAGGAGTACAGTCCCTGAGGGGGAAGGCAGGTGTGTGTATGTTCCACATGTCTGCTTTGACACTCACTTACAGATCTGTGTTTGTGTGTGGCAGGGCTGAGCGCTGGGCACACGCAGCAGCTGCTGTGTCTTGCAGGAAGGTGAAAAGTGCTGGTACAGAAAATGGTTGTAACACTGAGCACAAGCTGCTGCTTTGCTGCCTGCTCGAGAGGTGCACGGTCCTGTCATGTTGATTATACATCTGGGAGCAAATCATTTGGCCTGCAGTTGGGTTGGAGGCATCCCGAGACACATGGTGATACCCGATCAGACTGGTCACAGCTGCTCCAGCGAGGAGCACCCGGGGCACCGGGGCGGCTGGGACTCAGTGCCAGGATGCTGATGAGGCTCTGCTCCTTAATGAGTGTCTCCTAACTAATGATCCTGGCCTTTGCTACCGACTGCCCTGGGCTGTTCTGCCCTGAGAATCCCACCTGTCAGGTACCTGCAAGTTATCAGGGGTTTGATGGGATTTTGTGTTTTGCTCTCTACTGATTAGGTGCAAGAGATGAGCTGTAAGGACACGCAGGTGCCCAGAGAGGAATTGCAGCTGGGGGTGTGGCAGGGGAGCTGGCTGCACAAGAGGGTTTTTGTTTTTGGTAAAACTCCAGGTTACCTGTGAGTGCCACTGCATGGAGTAATAACTGTAGAGCAGTGAGGTGACCGTAGTGGGGGAGAAGAAGAAGCCGTTCATCCCACGTGGGTTATTTTTCCTGTGATGGTAATGATGATCCTGTTCTTTTATTCGCTTTCTGGAAAGATATGTGATGCTTCATGCAATTTAAGGCTGTTTTGACTTAAGAGTCATAGTCAAGACTCAGTGTGAAAATGTTTGATACTGCAGAACTTCGTAGGAAATTTGGAAGCAGGAATAAAAGTGCAGACCTAAGACAATGTCAAGTAAAAACGGGCCAGTGTTGCGAGTGTACCTTGTACCTTTTCTGCTGTGCAGTGCCTGTGTTGTTGCTGCTATTTGAAGATCCTCTGAAGCCCCTTGCGGGGATTCCCGTTCGCTCTCCCTGCCCGGTGCCAGAGCCCGGAATAGCCGAGCTCCCAGCCTGGGGCAGGACACGCTGTCCCGAGGTGTCAGCGGGCTCGCTGCTGTCATGTGAGCTCTGCTGGATCTCTTTTCAAAGCTGCTATTTTGTTCTTACTCCTTCCTCTGCTTCCAGCTGTAGCACTTCAAACGAGCAGTGCCCGAGTGCAGATCCTGCCCTGGTGTGTCCCTGGTGTGTCCCTGCTGGGCTGGGACTGCTGGCCCTGGTGTTCCCTCCCAGCCTGGGATTGCTCCTGGAGTTTGCTCACGGCAGCTGGACAGTGGCAGTTCCCTTGGGAATGCCCAGACTGGGCTGTGATCAGGTCACTCAGGTTCCCATGGTCAGCAGTAAATCCCTGCCCTGCCTTTGAGCGTTAGTCCTTTGCAAGGCAGGACCCAGGGGGTGCCCAGTTTGGTCAGGGTTGGGCTGGGGATGTTGCAGTGGCACTGCCTGGATGTGTCTGTGCTGGGGAATGTGGCATGGCTGGGTCCCTGAGCAGCCAGCTGTTGGAGCCAGGGCTTGCTCTGTGCGTGTGAACTTGGAAGGGAGAGATCATGTGACTCTGTCCAAGTAAACAGCCTTTTTCCAAATCTTGAATCATAAAATAATTAAGGTAGTTCCAGCAGTATAACATAAAGGTTGGAATGTCATGAGGTACTATAATGTCAATATTGAGACATAGTTTTATCTAAGTATTTTCACCTGGTTACTAATAAACCTACAGATGCTTGAGGCTGAAAAGATCTTAAAATCAAACTTCTTCCTACTAGCAGTGATTCTCCATCCCCCGCTGGAGTTTCATGGTACTGACTTTAAAAAACTGTTTTTATTGAGAGCAGAGCCCACATGTTCACCTGTTTAATGTGGCAGGAACAGCAGCTCTTTTGTCTAGTGACTGTTTGTTAGAGTGAAAGTTCATTTGCTTGAGACAGGAGAAGAGCCTCTCCCTGCTTTCTGTGTTAAGGTAGCTGGTGTTGGCAAAGATCTGCCAGAGCTAAGGGTTTATTTCACAGACAGCCATTAAAAGAATCGAGCACTACTTGCTGCAGAAATTCTTCTGCATCATATTTTCTCCCCCACTCCCACAAATATTTAAAATACCTTTGTATTTTAAATTAAGACTTAGTCATTGCCCAAGTGCCAGGCATGCACTATTAATACACTAATGAGGTCAGGTTGTGTTCTTTCACTGAGTGAATACTTGCCAAAACTCTTGAAATAAGTTTCTGCAAATGCTTGTGTTGGCCACTAAATCTTCCCTTGTCACCATTAGGCTTCAGTCAGTGCCAAGGACAGGAGTGGTGTGACTCAGAATGAGAGGATGAGGGTAAGGGATAACCAAAACCTGTGTATGGCCCTTTGTGGGGAAGGGGCAGGGCTATTATTTATTTATTTATTTATTTATTATTTATTTATTTGTTGTGGCTATTCTGTAAATGCTGGGACTGTGTTTTGGGACCTGACTTTGCTCAGGGCCAGAGCTGGTGTGGGGCAGGGAGTGCTGTGATCCAGTCCTGGTTCCCTGAGCAGCTGATAGAATTACCAGGGTTTGTCCCTGAGTCAGGCCTGAGCACAAATAGTTCAAGTGTGGGTTTTGTTTCCTAGAAGGGAAGATCTGGATATGTTCAGTCTCTTCCTTCTCTGCAGGCAGGGGAGGTGTCCCACAGCTGGCCATGGTGCTCCTGAAATGTGCCCTGTGCCATGGGCAGCTCTTTACCACTTCTGCATGTTCTGGTACCAGTTTTAAAGGGGAGCAGACTCTCTTTTCCCATTTCTGTGTTGGGCTGGCCTGAAGCTGCAGCAAAGGAATTTATTCATGGAATTTTCCCTTGTTTGTCTGTTCTTCCTACAACACTTCAGTCTTGTTTAATCCAAAACGGTTTCTAGCTGTTGCCTCCTGTGTTTTGCCAATCTGCATAAAAACTTGTAATTTGGGGATGAGCAAGAAAGACTGTGGGTAAATTTTTGTTGTCTTTGACCAAAGAAAGTGGCAACAGTCTGGAGGGACTTTGTCATTTTTGTTTTCCAAACTGAGAGGGGCAGACCTTTGTAGATGTCCCCTAAGTGATGGGACCATGAATCCTTGGGAAGTGACAGTAGCTTCTGCTCCAGGTGACAAAAGCTGTGTCTTTAGTAGATAACAAATAAAGCCGTTTTCTGCTCTTTTGTTTGTTGTGAAACAACTCCAGCAGTGTTTGTGCTCCTGGTGGCCCTGCTGGTGCTGGGTGGCTCTGGGTGGCTCTGAGCTGGGCCCTTCAGCAGTGGCTGTGCTCAGTCAGCCTGGGCTGTGTGTGAGCTCTGAGCCTGCCCTGGGCAGGGGAGGGCTCAGCTCCTGCTGCAGCCACGGCTGGCACAGCCCGGAGCCCCGGGGACTCTGCAACCTCTCCCCTTCTTTACCCCAGCAGAGCCGAGAGCACAGTCTGGTATGATACCATGGAAGGGCAGCACAACCATCCTCATCATCTAGGGGACCAGAACAACCCTCTGTGCAAGCTGCCAGGCCAGGAATTCCAGCATGATCCTCAGGTAAGTGCAGCTGTCTCTGATCCATCTCCCTCTGTCTTTTCTTACCTTCATTCTGTAAAAGTCTCCTGATTTCGTAGCATTTAGCTGCCTTTGCCCCCCCTCCTTTTGTTTTTAGTGCACTTACAGGAGTTTTAGGGAATATCCAGTTTGGGTTTCTGCCAGCCAGCCAGAGTTTCCTGAACCCACTTTTTGATTGTAATAAGAGAAAAAGGAAATAGTTTGAATTTTGCTTAAAGCAAGTGTTTTTAAATCATCTTATGAAAACATACTGAGTTGGTTTTCTCTTGTCCTTGATTCTTTGAAGAAAAGGCCAAAGTAAAATAGATGATTGTGTAAGTGAAGAAATGTGTTTTATCTCCTTTTATAGTTTCATAGTAAATGCTGAAGGAGTAATTACCAAATAAAAGAAAAAGCTCATTCTGCATGGAACTGTAGGCTCCCTATGAGTCTCTGGAACTCATCCTGCAATGTATTTTGTCCATACTATAATAAAGTTTCACTGTAGTAGCTCCTCTCTCTTCCTGCCTTTCTTCAGAAGGGAACTAAAACCAGGATTAACCCACAGTCTGTGTAATCATGAAACTTGGATTTTGTGAATTCTGGCTGCTTGACTTTTCAGCCTGTTTTCTATTGATCAGTTTTGCCCCTCTGTTATTTTAAGGAATAGACCAACAGCATGATGGAAGGCTGTGAGAAGGAAGAGAGCTGTGGATTGGTGTGCCCGGGGAGGGGTGGGGTGATGCTGTGCTGCTCTGCAGTCCCAGTCTCGGGCTCCCTGAGGCAGAAATTGTCCTGGGAGAGCTCTGGCAGTGCCCAGCACAGGCTCTGCACACACTGAGTGCACTGCTGGGAAAGTACCATGGTGTGGAGCAAAGCCCCCTCTCCTAATGCAGCAATTTGTCATATTAAGTCATTTAATAATAATTGAATCCCCTTGATTAATCTCCTAGAATTAGCCAGTTGCATTTTGAGCAATTAGGGTTAATTACTGCCTCATTTGGCAGGATAGTGCCCCTGTAATTATTTCATGAACAAGATTAGGAAGTGTTCCTGTGCAGCAGATACATTCATGGCATCTTGGAGCACATGTTAGAATTTGTAATGACATAGTTAAGTGTAATTAGTAGCTAATAATCTGTGTTCTGCTGTGATGCTGATGCTGAGTGGGCTCATTTTGCTGTATGGTCATTGTTCAGTGAAACCTCCCCTCAACTCTGCTAATACCCAAGTTCTCTTAATGGAGGCCTCTAGTAAACTGTTCTGAGAATAATCTAATTTGGAATTAGAATGCAGGAAGACTTCCTTTGGTTTTGCTGTCAAAAGAACATAAAAAGACCTGAATAACAAAAATATACAGTCTACCAAGGAACTGGAAAAAATGCATATAAAAAGGTAGTGTTTAGAAGCCTTACATTGGTGGCATGATAGGGTTGCTGATGACATATTTCTGTTTTTCCATTTTTCAGGAATATATTTCTATATAATTTTTCAAATCTCTGGTACTTTTTACCTGGAAGAATCTGAAATTAAATCCTTTCTTTCTTCTGAAAATCTGAGTAATGCAGCCATGCTGTGTAATAGTTTGTGAGAGGGAGGTTTGGGAAGATAAAATTGACCAAGCTGGTCTTGTGAGAAATGTCATTAATGGCAGAGATAAAAAGCTGAAAAAACCAGGACATGAGTTGTTGGAGTCTTGGGTGAGGAGGGAGCTTTGCATGGAATGGCCTCCCCTTCCTTCCAGCCCCCGAAATACCAGAGCAGCAACGTGCTCCTCTGCCAGCAGCTTTCCCTGTAATTTGTGCTGCTTCCTGAAGCTTCCTCTGTGGTTAACTCTGACAGGTGTTGTTTCTGCTTTATAACTCATCAGAACAGAATATGAGGAAGTGTGTCAGGCTTTTCTTTCTGTCTTTAACTGCTGTAGTTTAGTTAAAAAGATGAAACCTTTGAGTAGTGCTAGATACTTAGAAGTTATCTATAATACAAAATTTTTTCTTAAATGTCCAATAAAATCACATTTTTTGGCTTTTGGCTCTCATACCTGCCCAGAAATACCCCAGGGAAGTTTATCAGCAAGAGGGAGAACTTTTCTAGTAACGTTCCAGAGTGAAGGTGTTAATTATTTAAGTCTCCAGATTACTTAGTGTTTATAGCAGTAAGCAGTAAAAATTATTTAGGAGTAAATCAGTGATATAAAAATATAGAGTTGTAATTTTTCACTTAGTTTTCATACTAAATAAACACAGTAACTCACTTCTAAATAGCTCTTTTATATACTCATGTCTTAGCAGCAGAGCTGTTAAGAGATTATTTCTATGGTAATTTTAATTTCTTTGTGAATGTCACCTTGGCCTACTATTTCCAAGCTGGTATTTCCCAGGCACAGAATATCTGGATATCAGGATTGATCCCAATCATGCTGAAACTTTGAAACTTTAGGCAAGTTCCTCAGCAAACTTTAAATTCCAGGTAACAGGTCAGGTGAAGGATATTTTATGACTGTGTAGTCTAATTTTGAAGCTCAAATTGAAAAACCTGATGTATTCTTCAATAATTACTTGGCTACCTGTTTGAAGGATAATCCATATTTTAAAAGTTTCCTCATCTCTTGCAGGCTTAGAAGTTCTTTCTTTAATCAATCTGTTCTAATGTGTTCTCATAAATTCACACTGGAATTTCAGCCTCAAAGTATGGCAAATTCTTTTCAGGTAGGCATTATTGAATGGAGGCAAGTGTATAATTTTGGACATACTGAAAGGATTTGAAATGCTGATGTTGATAGTAAATCATTGCTTATAATGTGTGCAGGTTCCACGGGAGGGGCTGCAGCTCCCCCACAAGTGCTGCAGATGTCTTTTAAAGGTGAAATTAGTTACAGTAAATGTCACTCACATGAAGTATGCACTTTAGAAGCAAGGAAACCATTCCTTTAAAATTAATGATGCATTGCAAATATCAGAAAAAACCTTATATCCAGCGTAAAGATAATTAAAATTCAGGTCAGAAGTGTATGACTTAGTCGGGCTAAATTTTTTAATGAGATTTCAGAAAATTAATTGGGCGAGTATGTTTTTACTCTTCTAAAGAATATTTCATTTCATGGCTCTACAGGAAAGATGCTTTTATTGGCATCTGAAGATTGTACTGTGTGACTTTTTAACTGTTGTTAACTAATCTTAATAGTTTTTAGGTTGGTTACAAATACTCTAAATGCCTACAGCCCTTTGTACAAGGCTGACTGGTGCCTGTTTTCCACGTGCCAATCAGCAGTAAAACAACTGACTTTATTATTAATTAACATTAGGTCTCTGGGTTTTTATATTGTGCAATTAGCAATGAACATTCCCCTTTCTCAGCCCATCCAGGCTCGGATTCCCTGTTCCTCTGAGGGAGCAGGGGACAGTTGTGGCTGTGCAGTGGGGCTGTGTTTGTGATGTTTTTGTGATGTTTTTGTGCTCCTTGGCCCAAAACAAGGGCTTAGAGGCTGCAGGCAGAGCTGCTCTCACAGTTCTCTTGGGGCTGTTCAGGTTTTCTCCAGATCTAAAGTAATTACAAAGAGATAAATGTATTGGCCAAACACTAATTGTTCTGGAGATTGAAAGTTTCTACAGAACAGTTTTTTTTCTTCATCTTCCCTATCCCAAACCAAATTCTGGACAACAACTCATTAAGAAAAAGAAAATAGAACGAATGTGCAGAGGGTGTGTGAGGCTGCCTGTCCTCGGGGCAGGGTTTGGAGGGAGCTGTTGGATCCCCAGTGCCACAGTTGGGTCTTTGTGTTCCTGCCCCCAGAGCAGGGGTTGTGAAATACAAACTACACCCAAGGAGCAAGTCTGGAGCAAGGAATTTCCTAATCCTGCCTTTCCCCGTGTTTGGATTCCTTTATAACCTGGGATGTGGAATCCTCGTTCCTTGCCCAGATCTGTTCAGGTGTGTACAGGATAACTGAAGCTTTTATTTCGTTGGGGATTTTTTGGTGTTATGAAACCTTGCCTGTTCTGCAGACAATCTTGTAACACCTTGAAATTCGAGGCAAAATGCCCTGACAAAATTCTCCCTGAAGTCCTGTGACAAGGGCTGCCTTTCCTGCTTTTGCCAGCTTTGTAATCTGTGCTCTGGCACCAGTGGTTCCATCTCACAGAGCACATGTATGCCAGAGGAGATGTCCAGAAGAGCTTGTTCTTGGAATAATCTCTGCATTTCTTCTTAAAAATGAATGGTTTTTTTAATTCACATGAGGAATTCTGTGACTTTAATCATTGGTGCTTTGGTGCCTTTTTTTTTTTTTTTTTTTTCATGGAGTAGGAGAAGAATGAGACTTCGTTGTGTGCATGAAGAGAACAGCCTTTGTCTAAAAACGAGTTCTTCCCAGACTGTGCCCTTCTCTGGGAACAGAAATTTGCAAACAGCCCAGTTTTCATAGTGAAACCCCAGTGGTTGGGGTTCTTTTTGCTTGGTTGGGTTTTTTTCTCCTTTTTTTATTCAGTTTTGTTTTTTTTCTTTTAAATTCAAGCTCCATTGTTGAACTTGACACCCGATCTGTAGAGGCAGGGGCTTGATTTTACTGCACTTACGGAAACCTGAGCCTAAATCTGTCCTAAAAATGGGAAAATTTATTTTTAATGGACAGGTTTGAAGGTGATGGTGGTATCTTACTGCACACAATTTATATCTGTACATGAAAACCCTGAGGTTCACAGAAATAAAGATCACAAGTTGTTTGAATGAATAGGGATTGGTTCTTAGCCAGATTTCTGAAAAATGGTGATTAATTGTGGAAGGACATGAAAACGATGGGGTGCCCCTGTCAAAAGTCCTGGAATGAGTGGAATGTGTGTAAGGCCACACGAGAGGGGTGTTGCTGTGAGCAGGGAGGTGTTTCCTGGGTGTTCTGCACTCAAGTACAGCAAAGCATGAGAGAAGGTTAAGTTTGAACATCAGGAGAAGTGGCCTGTGACCAGTAGGGAGCTTTCTGGTGCAGTCTGGGCTCACCTGAGGATGATTTGTTCCGTAATCAAACATCTCCTGCCCTCTCTGAAGGCTCTTTATTTTAATTAGGGCTGATAGGTTGTGATAGCCCATGCAAATCTAGGTCATTGCATATGTAAATGTGCAGCTGCAGTCCTGGCAGTGCCAGAACACATCAGCAGAGGTGTCCAGGCATGGGCAGCATCACCCCCAGCAGCCCAAGGGGCTGGGGCACATTCCCCTCGCACTGGCCCAACGTTTGTTTATGTTTGCAAGTTCAGAAGTTGGTAGATATTCCTGGGCACGTGCTTGAAATGTTAATTTACACTTGAGCACTCTTGGTATAAACACACACTTTAATCATTTGGGAAAGGCGAGTGGGAGCTGTCCCTGATTTCAGTGTGGATTTCTCTCTGAAAAATAAAGTTTTGTAGCAGTTGCCTCATAAAATGTTGTTAGAAGTGCTGCTTCTATTGTGAATGGTAACTCCAAGTTGGAGAAGCTTTTGCTCAGACTTTCTTACTGCTCAAGAGCAGCTCAGGGGGCACATGGACACGGTGAAGGAAATGCTGTGATTCCTTTCTGTTTTTAAATTAGGAAAAAAGTGTTTTGTAGGTTTATGTGCTGACACCTTTGTTTTGTCTGGGGAGAGTGGTTTGTCTGTACAGGTCAAGGAACTCGTGTGTAAACCAGTTGGGAAGCAGAGATGTTCCTGGTGGGAACCAGGAGAATGGGACAAATGCCTGTGTGCAGACTGGGCTGGCTCTGTCAGGCAGGGCAGGGACTGGTGTTCGTTCAGTGCCTGGGAGGAGCTGAGTGCCCCCATGCACTGTGGTGGGGATTGAGGACTGGGTCTGTTTATCAGACCCCTGCAAAGAGAGGCTGCCAGCAGTTTGAACTGAGAAGGCTGCAGGGGCTGATTAATTGGAATATTTGTTTGTCTGCTTTCATCCTGTGTTGCCTTACTCTGCTGATGATTTAGTAACTTAGAGGAGAATGCATGTAAACAATAAAGCAAAGCAATTGTAGCCTTCTGCCCTTTATGTGATAACTGTATCACTGAGAGGATGCTCCTGGTTTATTGGATAGTGCACACTGCCAGACTTGGAGAAATGAATCCTTAGACTTGAATTTTGGTCTGGTTTTTGTTCTCTCTCTGAATGCAGCATAATTCCAAGCACAGCACAAGCACTGAGTGCTGACCCAAACTTTGCAGTTAATAGCTGGTGACTTGTTCTGGAGTGCTCTAAAAGAGAGCCATGCCCTGAGCTGCTTGGAGGAAGCCCTTGGAGAAATGATCTTCCTCTTTCTGTGCGACTTCCTTCAGAAATAGCTGCAGGTCCTAACGCTGCTCTGAAAGCTTTCCCTGCATTTCAAATCTCAGTTGCAATCCTCTGCTGCTGCATTAGGCAATGACAGCGGTAGCAATGGTGATTCCTGCATGCACGCAGCTCTCCCGGACTCTTGTGCTGGGCGTGGTTCGCCTGCAGGGATGGCTCAGCCCTGGGAAACGCTTCCCAGCCCAGCCTGTGCCGGGAACTTCTCTTTTTGTGGGTTTTGATGCAAACTCTGGAACGGCTCAATATGCTGAAACTCGAAAATGTTCTACTTGGCACGTGTGCTAACTTTGAGTAATTAATTTTCATAATTTCTTTTTTAAACATTGTTTGGCGGCCGCGCTAATTACAGAGGAGGCCGGGAGGGCTCTGGGGAGCAGTGCCAGCCCATGGGGTCTGTGCTCCTCGTTCTCCTGTGTCTCCGTGCCCGTTTACCTGGCACTGCTGGGCTGCACCATCAGCATCTCCCGGGTGACTCAGGCAGAGCTGACGAGAGCCTGTGCACCGAGGGAGAGCAGTGTGGGATTAATTAGTTACTTACACGGAAGGCAAGACTTGAATTCCCTTTTTAAAGAAGTCGTTTGGCTTTCCTGCAGCCTGTGCTGCTGCAGTGTCTGAAGGAGCTGTGTGTTTGTGGTGGGGCAGGAGGGGCTCCGGGGGCGCTGACCGCCGTTCCTTTGGCAGAGACATTTCCCGGCGTACCCGTACCGCTGCACCTTGGCGGATTTCCAGATCGAGAAGAAGATCGGGCGAGGCCAGTTCAGCGAGGTTTACAAAGCGACTTGTCTGCTGGACAGGAAACCTGTGGCACTGAAGAAGGTGCAGGTGAGCATCCGAGTGCAGGTCCTGCTTCCAGGGAGCATCCAGGGGATGATCAAGGGCTGCCAGCTGCCCCGGAGGCAGATATAAGATAAACCTGCAGGGTGGGCACCCCTCACCGCCCCTGTGGCTGCCTGTGTCCACGTTACACAGCAGTAGTGCCATCTCACATTTATTTCAAATTTCACCCTTTACCAAAAGGGCTCACCAAATGGTTATAACTGTGTGAAACAGAGAGGCCCTGGGCTGTGCTGCTGCCATCCCAGCACAGCTGGACCTCGGGAACATGGGAGGGAAAAGGGCTGGAGTTTGCTGGTGGAGCTGGAGAAGAATTTGTGAAAACTTGGATGTCAGAAGTGTAGAATTTTTAAACTTGGCTGAAAGTATTGGGCAGTATTCAGAACAGCATTTTTTTGGAAGAAATTTGCTTTTAATCCTTCAACACATCCTCCAAACTCTCATTTCCAGTGACTTAGTGATGATTGAGCATTAATATTCATTCTGCAAAGTTATTGTTAATTATCACAGAGAAATCAGTGGAAGCTGTATCTGTTTAAAACAGAAGAGTAAACATTTTGTGTTTTACTTGCCTTATGAAATGAATAATAACCAATGAAAATCACAGCAGCAAATTCACAAACTTACATCTTTATTTTTCGTGCTGCTTAGAATATTGCCTATGGGTTTTAAACTTAGTTTTACCCCAATGTTATCCCTGTGGTGGTTTCAAAATAAAGAAAACATTGATCTTTCTTTGATCTGGGGATTGTGTGAATACTCATTACAGTAGAGGACGTACAAATTGGGGAAGGAAACACCAACTGCTTGCTAAAGTATAAAGTACTTTGTTTTGTTGTTTTGTTTTTTCATTTCTATCTTCTATGTTTTTGTGTTTGAAGATTTTTGAAATGATGGATGCCAAGGCAAGGCAAGATTGCATTAAAGAAATTGACCTCTTGAAGGTAATAATTTTTATAATAACTTTTTTTTTGGGGGGGGGGGGGTTTGGTTTGTGTTTGTTTGTTTTGTGAAAAAAATTGTTTTCAGGTTAGCAAATAAAGCTTACAAAAGGAGAAAGCAGTTTTGCCTGTAGATGTTATGTATGTGTGTGTATAAATAGCACACATGAAAAATAGACTTTATCTAAAGGCTCTGAAACCAGAATGTATTTAAGTGATTAAAACAAGTGGTGATTTTAATGCCTTAGTAGCTTATTTTAAATTGTTGATTAAAAACATAGACGTATTGCACTTTAAATATCTTATTTTAGTAAATGCAACAGACTGCAAAAGGCTAAAAATTTAGCTTAGTCAAATTTCATTCCAAAAGTATTAAATAATTAATACTTCTGTGCCTGTGATTTTAGGAATTTCTGTTCAAATTCATGCACTTGTAGCCTGAGTCTGTAGGGAAGGATAAACATGAGCCAGTTGCTCAATAATCATGGAGGAAAATAATGGCAAGGTTTACATTCAGAAAGAGGCTCTGTCATATTTTTGGGTTCTAGGAAAAGAAAATTGAAACCTCAGTTGTGAATGTAAGAATGAGCTGTACTGAAATGAAAGAAAGGAATTAGTGAAGAAGCCAGCACAAATAATCAGATAATAAATTGACATGTGCAATTTCCCTCTTATTGTCCTCCTTCAAAGTTTTAATTCAGTTTTGTTATTCTTATAAGGGGCAAAGAGACCTTGAGTACTGTAACCAACAGTTGGGAGTTTGTTTTTATTTAAAGAGGGGGAAAAATCGATTATTGCTTAACAAGGCATCCTTCAGGACTCTGCTTTTAAATGTTTTTTAACATGACCAAGTTTCCAATAGAAGAGGTTGTTTCACCCTGTTTGGGTGGAGCTGCTCTTTGCTGAGGACATCCCCAGGCTGCTGTGCCTGTGGGAAATGCTGATTGTGCCAGGATTTTGTCAGGAGCAGATCAGCCCAGGCTGTGCCTGGGACTTGCCATGACCACGCTGTGACTGCTCCTCTTGCATTCCCTCCCTCTGCAGCAACTGAACCACCCCAACATCATCAAATATTTGGATTCTTTCATTGAAGACAATGAGCTCAACATAGTCCTGGAGCTGGCTGATGCTGGGGATCTCTCTCAGATGATCAAGGTAAGGATGTGTCCAGTGGAGGTGCTGCAGACTCCCAGCACTGGGCACAGCTGCGTTAGAAGCAATTCTGTCTCCTCCTGCAGTTTTGCACACCCCTAGGCTGCTTCCAGACCTGAGCCAAAGTGTCTGGTGGCATTTTAAACTCCCCAGGCCATGCCCTGAGTTTGTGCTCACTGCTGCAGAGGGAAGGGCCTGTGATCTGCTGGGACACTGTGGCACTGGCAAGGTTGATTTCCTCAGCCCGTGATTGATGGGGACATTTAATTACTGTTGGGTTCACTATTCACATTGCCTGTCTGCCACTCCGAAGACATTCAAGGAAGTCTATTGACTTACTTTGCAATGGGGATTTGGGTTTGAGGAAATGTTTCAAGTACTTGTTCTTCTTTTATGTTGCTCTTAGGAATACTTGTATTGCTGCAAACCAGCTTTAGTTAAGCTGTTACCACCTGCTTTTATATTTTCTTTGACATGTTAATCTTTAGACATACATCCCTTGTGAGAACAGATGTGTTATATCATGTTTGTTAGCACTCTCAACCTTCTCTCCATGTTTTACCTGGTTTTTGCCATCATTATTCTGTAATTATCATAAATGAATGTTTGGAAAGTTCTCCTCCTCCTTGTTGTCACAGTTAAAATATCTTATTAACAGATTTGTTTTCTTTGCCAGCAGAGCTATGAGGCACTAGGCCAAAGGCTGTCAAACAAGTTCCCATTCAGTCCATAGTCAATGGCTAAATTTCCAGGGTGCAGGAGAATCTGCCTGGACCCCCAGGGCTTGGCAGAGTCACTGCTGGGACAGCCCCGGGGCTGCAGGCTGGGGAGGGGGCTCTGCCCCAGCCCCGGGGAGCTGGGGGGGCACGGCTGCCCCTCCTGCCTTTGTCCCCCCTGCTTCCCTGGGGCTTCTGCTGCAGATCCCCATTTCCTTTTCCCACCATTTCCTGGGAAACTTACTGCTCATCTTGTTGTGGTTGAGGATGGAAAAAAATCCAGGGATTGTGAGAGCAGGAGTTAGGGCTGTGTGAGACCTTCCTGGGCTGTGCAAGGGTTCTGCTTGAGTTTGCAATCTTAGCTTACAAAAGCTTTACCTACAGAATTGTAAGATTTCACAATATGAAATATTTGTATTTTTTAGTAATCTGTACTTTTTAGTTTAAAAATACTGACAAATATGTTCATTTGCTTATCAAGGTTGGCTATTTAATTTTTAAAAATAACTTTCTGTGTCACTATAATAAGAGTTACATTTTCCAAAACATAACTGCCAGAGTCTCAGATTGGTGCCTTGCCCAGTGCTGGACTGTGTTGACTTCCAGTGTCCACAGCTCTGTGTTCTCTCTGTATTTCAGGCACGAAGAAGATGCATTTGTTTTTTTCAAGCTCATACAAATGAAGTTTTTCAACTGGTGCAAATCTAGGAATTAAATTTTTTTGTTTGTTTGTTTCTAATAGAGGTAAAAAAGAAAAAATACCAAGCCCTTAAACCCAAGAGGCAACAAAAGCTTCCCCCTAAATTCAACTCCAGGGGAGTTTCCCCAGCAGCCCCTCTGTGTCACCCTCTCCCCTCCCTGGAGCTGAAGCTCCTGTGTGGATTTTCAGAGGAGCAGCGGTGACAGCCCTGGGAAGGTGTGAGGGTGATAAACCCAGGGCCTGTCTCTGTCACACCCCAGTGCCTGCATTATTTATGAGGGATGTAGAGCTGCAGGAAAACCCACCGGAGAGTTGGGACTTCCTTGTAAATGTCAGGCAAACCTTATTGGACATGACATTTAGAAAATTATCACTAGTGGTCTTGCATATCCACTCTTAAATATTTTAATGAGAATTAAATAATTTTATTGTGTATATAACACTTTCTCCCTCACCCTCTGTAATTCCTCTGTGCTCTCTCTCGAGTTTTGGGTTGAGACTGTTGCAATCTGTCAGATTTGCTGCCTGGGGAATTGCACAGTCGTGCCCCTTCACAGCTGATCTGCAAAGGAAAATTTGCCATTGCTTGAGTCAAACACGAACTGGTAACAGCATTTCACATAAAATAGGGAATGTGACAAGGGACATCAGATGTCAGTGCTGAGAGGGGAAAGCAGGAGATGCAGAAAGGGGCACAGGCCCTCCCTTTATCCCTGTGCCGTGGGAGCTCTCGGGCGCGATGCGAGGGAAGCGTGGCTGTGGTGGGGCAGCAGGGAGTGCAGCACTGCCTGTGCCACCCTGAGTGCCAGGGCACGGGGCACTGGGAAAGCTCTGCAAGTGCCGAAGTGTGTTTGTTCATGCTGTGGCTGTAGAGCTGGCTCAGAGAGAAGCCAGGGAGCGAGGATCTGAGCCCTGCAGTTTTGGGATGCCTGGGTGCGGTGCCAGACACGGCTGCCGTGCCCCCCTGCTCAGGAGGGGAGCAGCTGAAGGTCTGCAATCCTTGGCCTTCACTGAAGTGTGCAGCTGGCTCTTTATTGCTGTAGTGGGTTGAAGAAGACTTGAGGATTGCAGGGAGCCAGGGCCACGCTGCCCTCGGTGGTGCTGCTTTGTGCTGCCCATTGTCCTGAGAGCTGGGAGGCACCAGAGGTGCCTGGAATGGGACCGGCTCGGCTGAGCACCCCCAGCTCACCACAGAGTGCAGTTCATTTACTATTCCTGTTATGCATGAAATAGAATATATTACTCTACTTGATCACAGAAGAAACATGGATACTTTATTGATGCTCTGGCCATCTTTTAAAAAAGGGAAGCAGATTTCCTTATCCTTGTTAGTAGGCAATGTAATAATGAATGTTTACGAGGGAGGGGGTTTAATGGTCTTTTGTTTCTTAAGGCAAAATATTTGAGACATTTGTTGTTTTGAGGCATTAAATATGTTTTGCAAGGTAATTAAGGAGATTAATGCTAATCATAATTGTGTCCATTCAAAAATGTCAAACCTATTTAAGCATATTTTTCGTAATAGTTGTTAATTAGTGAACTGCATCGAAGTTTCCACACAGAGAGGAGGAGTTAAAAGGTAATCAGAAGAAGAGTCATGCAGCTGCAGATCTGGAAGACATGAGCAACCTGCAGCTGACTAACACAATTCCAGGAACGAGTCAAATATGTTGCTTTTTCACTGATCTTTTATTTATTTCCTCCCACAGTATTTTAAAAAGCAGAAACGGTTAATCCCGGAAAGGACGGTGTGGAAATATTTTGTGCAGTTATGCAGTGCAGTGGAACACATGCACTCCCGCAGGGTGATGCACAGAGGTAACATTAATTCAGTCTCTTTTCACTGAATAATAATATAATGTTCCAATTAGTAAGCGCCTACATTCAAAAACAATTATGCTGATGTTCAGCCAATGCATGTTTAGAGAGGCTGGAGCTGGGAGATGGATTTCTCCTTCTGTCTCGGCCTCATTGTTAAAGCATTCAGGCCGAAGTGAGTGTGGTATTAGGAAGATGAGCTGCTTTGTATTCCAGACACTGATATTAAGTAGAAGTGTCAAACTTGCCATTAGAAAAGTGTCAGAAATAAAATGCTGAGACTCCTGGATACAGTGAACTCTTAAGAAATAGTCTTCATTATATTAGCTGTGACCTTAGAGAGTTGAGAAGAGTTTTCCTGTCTTGCAGGCTTTTCTGAAATATTAATATAAATATGTCCCACACTCTCATAACCTGTTCTCTATTTTCATTAATTATTTTTGAATCTCTTGTCTCAGAACATCTTATAACTTTGAGCTCTATCCAAAAATTACACTATTGCTTTCAGTGTCAGTGAAGTGCTTTGGGAAGGGCTGGACTCAAGAAATGCAAATTTCCCAAAAGGCACTAGCACCCATCTTGGCTGCTTGTTATTTCCTTGCTCCTTTGAAGGAGGCAATTCTTCACTGTGTTTGTCAACAGTGTGATACCATTTTTGCTCTGTTACACGTCCCCTGGTGCAGTTTATCAGTTGTACCTGAATTAGGTCTGTAATTGGTGGCTGAAATGGGGAGGCTCACCTTGAGTCTGCTCTAACATGAGGAAAGAGCCTCTCACTCAGTTCTGACATGACTGCCTGGGAAACTGGGGTTGTAGTGATTTCTACCCTCCATGAACCACCTGGGCTGTGTAGAGCCCAGAATTTCTGTGCATGTGGAACAGTAATGACCCTTGCATGAGGGGATGGTGGTGGGCAGTGCAGCTTCCTGTGGAAAGTGATCATTCCCAAAGAGAACTGGGCTCATTCCTTTGATTTCCAGCAGTGAAAGAGGTTGCCTCTGTTCTGTTGAGCTGTTTCCTACATTTTCCCTCATTGGTATTTCTTGTGTGCTGGGAAGTGCACTCTGATTTTTGTGTCTGTGCAGAGCTCGAAGCCTTGGAAGATTGAGCTTATCAAAGCTCTAAAGGAACACGGTTCTGCTCGAGCCTCTTTGTACCCTGAGCGCTCCAGGCAATGCTTCTATTGCAGCATTAGAACCAAATAACCTTTTGTGGCTTTGACCTTTTACCTTTTTCTTCTTGCAGACATAAAACCAGCCAACGTGTTTATAACAGCCACAGGGGTGGTGAAGCTGGGAGATCTTGGATTAGGCCGGTTTTTTAGTTCTAAAACCACTGCAGCACATTCCTTAGGTAAGCTGGTACTCGTTAAGCAGGGCCTGGCGTGCACTGCCAGCTCTGATGTTCAAACACAGGGTGTCCTTCCTCCATGCTGAGATGAGTGGGAGGCAGGGGATGGGACTGCATTTCCAGCCATGTGTGCTTTAAATGCTCTTTGCAGGCATTAATAGGTATCTTCTGTTTTAAAATCTGTTATTTTTTTCTGCAAGGCCTGGCCTGATGTGTATTTTACAGCAAATGCAGCTTTTCCACTCTAAATAGCACTTTGGCTGTGCTGTGCTTTTGGAATTCAGTGTTACCCCCAATACCTTTTACCTTTGCTGGTCAGGGCTCTGCCCTCACTGGAGCTGCCCAAGGTGGGTGAGCCCTCATGGCTCATCTGTCCCAAAAAGGGACTTCACTTGAAATCTGGCCTATGCTTTAAACATCCAGCTTATCTCCATATATTCCACATATCTCAAGGTTGTCTTCCTCATTTTTACCATTAACATGAATTCTAGTGCTATAGAAAATTGCATAGTTATGCAGTTCATTCTTCCAGTCTTACAGTATAAAGTATTTCATAATTGTGTCTGTAACCTCTTGAGAGGTGGCTGATTTTCCATTTTTATTAAGGGGTCTGAATTTTTTGAGTCCCAAAGGTGCTTCTGTATTACAGCACTGAAGGAACTTTGGCTTTTGTTGCAATATTTAAGCTCTTTTAAACGAATGTCTCTCAGTTGACTTTGGAACACATGATATTTGTTTCACTTTTTGTGTTTGTGCAATTTCCTCTGCTGAGTGTGTCTTGCTGAATCCCTTCTTGGATGTGGACAAATTTCATTGCTAATACTGGCCAGCAGCACTGGCTTCTCAGTGCACAAGGAAGGAAAATACCTGCTTTGTTTTGTGTGTGCTTAAAAATAGGAGGCATTTCTATAGTTTATTTTCATAAAATATGAGATTTCATTTTTTCCTTTCTATCAAAAGCTGTCCTAGGATTTATCCCCACCGTACTTAATAGATGAAAATAAATCCTCTTCACAGGAAGTTACAATCACATCATCTGAACAGGCCAAAATATGATCATGTCTAATTATATGATCTTATCCAGTTTGACTGCTGCACTTATTATATTAATAAGAATAAATTGGGGCTTGGAAACTGGCTGCACATGTAAGCCAAGCTTGTGACCTTTACCAGGGCTGCTCTGTCTTAATTGAGAAAGCTGGAGTAGGAAGAGCTGGGCCCCTGGTGCACAAACCCCTTCCTCACATCACCAGCATCCTGCAAACACTGAGAGGACACGGAGGGAGCAGCAGTGAGAGACTGGAGGTGTGGCAGGGATGGACACGTCCCCATTTCCAGCCGTTCTGGGATCCAAGTGAAAAAGAATATTTTAACAATCAGAAAATACACAGACCCGAAGCTCCTTTCTGTTTTTTTGATAATTTTCCAGAGACGGAGGTTTTGTAGCAGCAGGAAATGGGCTGCTGTTGGGTTTGGTTTAATGAAGACATTTTCTGGAGGAGCTGCGAGGGCCGAGCAGCCCAGCCCGGAGCGGGGCAGGCGCGGCCGGGGCCGCACGCAGAGCCCGGGCCCTTCCCGGTGCTGCGTTGCCCTGGCAACCGCCCTGAGCCATCATTTCTCTGGCTGCTGACCCATGAATTGAATGTGCAGCTTATGCAAATATATTCATCTCATTTCTGCCTTTGGTTGTATTTGCTAGCAGCAGACTGGCATGAAAGGGCATCAGGCAGTCCCGACCCGGCTGACAGGTGTAGCAGGGGCTCGGCAGCGCCCGGCGCCGCGGCGGCAACGGAGCCGTAATTAGAGCAAGGAACAGAATGAACGTCAGATGAATTACCAGGCAGCAGATCATATTTGTCAGGAAGGATTGCATACATAAAAATTAAGTGACAGTACATGCCGAGGTAATGAAAGAAAAATGAAAGATTTGCCTGTACACAGCTCGTGAGATGCCGGCGAGCGCCGTGCTCCGAGCGCCAGCGGGAGCCGCCAGCAGCGCCGGGGCAGCAGAGACCAGGGACAGGGAAAGCCCTGGCAGGGAAAAGCTCCGTGGGCACACCTGGCACACGGGCAGCACGGACACCTCCAGCCTCTCCCAGTGCTGGGACAGCAGCAGGAACCAGCTGGGGCTGTGGGAGTTCACAGGGCACCACTCACCTCCACTGCCCCTTTTCCCTGGAGAGAGCACGGGAGATGATTCTCCATAGGGAAGAGCTCTTCCTGTACAAGCCTCACCAGCAAATTCAGTTCTAAAGGTACTGGTGTAGCTGAGGTGAATTTTACTGTTTGTTACAACATGGTGATTCACCTTCCTCCCCTAATTTTAGACTTTGGCAAACTTAACATTAAGCTGGTAGATCTTGATTTAATAGGAGTTGTAATAAATACAGAGAATCTCCATTAATATTACAATGGATAACTCTTTTGAGAACTGGTATAATGTCCATTTTTAGCCAAATAAACTTGGCATTATCTAGAGTTTCTGACTGGCTTTACATTTTGAAGAAACAAGAAGAATAAGAAAGACGAACCAAACCCCAACAGAAACCAATTTTACACAGAATAGTCTTGTTTTGGAACAGATGATTTATTATTTATTCTTGGACAAGAATATGCTTGGAGCAGATTTTCCTTTTGGGAGATTCACGTAAATCAAATCTTCCCAGTTTAGAACGTGCCAATAGCCCTGGATTGGAGTACATGGGGTGTTACACGTTCCTTCTGGTTCCTGCTTGGATGTGAGGGTGAGCAGGGAGGAACTGAAGAGCTCTTCAATAAATGGACCATTTGTCTGCCTTTTTTTCTTTCTTTTGCCTGCCAAGCCAGTTTGCCATCTGAAACAAAATCCCAGGCCTTGGAGGGGCTGGTAATCAGGACTTGGTAAGAAAAAAATGGACACAAGGAATCCCCTGAAAATGTCACCAGCCAATATCCCAACCCAACCCAGCCACAGAACTAAAAAGAGTTTGGTAGGATTGTGTCATTCAATAATAATAATGAAAAAAAAAAAAGAGCTTTGGTCAACAGGTCTTGTAACAACAGCTGCAATATTATGCATAAAATATTTATTGGTTTTCTCTAAGAGTAAGTAGATTTCATCTGACCACAGTTTTACTTCAGCCAATTCCAAAATTCTCCTGGAAAAAGACCTGAGCTGCCTTGTTGAAAATGAACCCCAAAGAAAGCAAAAGTTTAGAAAGGGATACTGAGAACTCGACTCCTTTTAAATAATGCTGGATGGTTTTTTGATGACCTGCAAGTTTGGATGGAGAGGGTGAGCAAGGTGAGAGATCCAGACTCTCATTTTCCAGCAGAATTTCTTCCCTGCTGTGTTTGCACTGCCAGATAGCACTAAAACATACTCAGATACTTTTCTCAGCTATGTGTGTGTTCATGGAACGTGCATTAGTGTTGCTCATGCTAACACTGAGCTGATAATTCTAGAAAATCTTTATTACTATTTGAAAAACTGGGCAATTTTTTATTTTGCATGTAGGCATTTATAAAGCCTCAATGTATGCAGCCTGTAAAAATATCTGGAAATATTCTGCACTGATTTCAGTCTAATGCAATCTGTGTAGAGGTGTGGGAGAGCCTCTGCTGTGCAAGGCTCGTCTGGGTTACATCAAACTCGGTGAATGGGACTCTGAGAGAGCCTCCTAAAGTATGAATCACATTTGGCTGCCCACAAGCAGCTAGGGATGAGTTTCTCAGGAAGCATGAGCCATGTTTGCACAAGTGAGAGAAATGGAATTTGAATTGCATTTCTGGAAATAACTTTGCCACCTTTGCCTTTGTGTTCTCCTGGTGAATTAAGAGACTCTGCTCCTAATCTTACCTGGGAGTAATTAGCATTTCCCTGCCTTGGATGTTGCAGCTCTCCCAGGGCTGTTGCAGCTGCCCATGGGCAGTGCTGGGAGAGCAGGAATGCTCTGGCATCACCCAAGTGGTTCATGTTCAAGTGAAGGCTCCAACTGCCAGGAACAGAGCAGGAAGCTCCTTCCTTATCCATAATCTTCCCTATGGTTTAATGACCTTTATAACTTCAAATGCATTACTCTACCACCTAGTGAGTGGTGTTGAATCTGAGCAATATTTTGTATTTTCAGCAGGGCAAATGCTGAAGAAAGTTTCTGATTAATAGTCTCCGATTAGACTGTTCTTGTCAAATTGACTAATGGGATGCAATGGCAAGCCCTGACTGATTGCACTGGAAGCCTTGTGCAGTTCTCTAGAAGATGCTCATTACAGGAGATTCCCACGTAATGTTGGACAGGCCATAAAGAGAATTGGCCTTGTCAGTCTTTTATCATGACAGTTATTTAAAAATTAATGCATCAGTTTTGAAACGAGAGACCTGCTTGTTTGTACATTTGCTGACAAGACTTCAGTAATGATAGGTAAATGTGCAAGGTGGACTCCACAAAATGAGCTCAGGCGTGGAGCCATTAATGGGCTGGAGCAGCCCCGTGCCCCCAGTGTGGGGCTGGTGACACAGTGAGCTGTGCCACTGCCCTGTCACTGCCCCTGTCCCTGAGCTGTGCCACTGCCCTGTCACTGCCCCTGTCACTGTCCCTGTCCCTGAGCTGTGTCACTGCCCCTGTCCCTGCCCTGTCACCGCTGGCACAGGGGCCAGGACAGGCATGATCAGAAGTGACAGTGGGGCAGAGCAGGGCTGGCTCTGGAGCCCACACGTTGTTGTTGCTGCGAGGTGCCCACGCAGTGACCTGGAATAAGTGAGTGCCAGAGCAGCCACGGCTCCAGGGCCCTGGCAGTGGCACAGGTGGGGCTGGCACTGGTGCTGCTCCTGCCAGCCACGAGCTCCAGAGCTCCTGGCATGGCTGGCAGTGCAGCAGCATGGGGAAGAGTCTTACACTGCTGCTCAGTGGGGACTTCCAGAAGTGTCTTCCACAACTTCCTGGAATGAATCACCGTTTCTTCTGCAGCTGCCTATTTTTAAGCAGGAAAATGAATCAGTGCTGTCCCAGCCAAGTCAGTTCTTGTACAGAAACCTGGCAGATGTGTGGGAATTACTTGGAGAGCTGTGCTGTCCATCGTGTGGATGCTGCACGCACATGGGACTGAGCCATGGAAAGCCTCTGAATGAGTCCTGTCTGCTCCTGCTGTCCTGGGAAGTTTCTCTGTGCAGTCCAGTAAAAATCCTTTACTCCTGCCAGGGCTCCTCCCTACACTGGGGCCTTTCATGGGCAGTTAAACCCAGCCAGGTCTGGGGCTGCCAGTCTGACCTGCACCTCCTGAGAATGGAAACAAAGTGATCTCCCTGTGATGCTTTTCCTGTGTTGTAGTTTTTATAGAATCTGCAAAAATGTAACTTCTCATTACAGTACTCTTCACATTGAAAGGGAAGTAATTTCTTCAGTGAATGACCTGCAAGCATGAGCTGATTTCATCACTCAGGGCAGCTGATTGCTCAGCATCCTGAGGGCCCAAATAAATGACCTTCTCTGTGCTGGGTCACCTGGGTTTTGCCTCTCTGGGTTGTTGCTCTTGCCCCAGAACTCCTGTGTTTCCCACAGTGTGCAGGCCCCTCTGCAGGAGTGCTGGGGAAGGTGGTGGCTGTTCTTCCACCTCCTGCACCATCCTTCAGCTTATTAATCCTGCAGCTGTCTTCAGGCAGCATTTCAAATGGAGAAATTGTAAACTGAATGTTACAGGCAAATTAAACATTTGCCATCTTGTGAGGAAAGGTCTTTAATTAGGAGAAGGATACACTGGAATGCCAAAAGGAAAAAAAAAATTGACAGAGGACGGACAAGCAGTGGAAGCAGGAGAAAAGAGCATATACAGTCCTTGGATGTTTTAATAAATGATGTATCTGAGGATTATTTGATGTAGTTGAGACTGCCAGGATGTCTTGTATTTTCAGTACCACAACTGAAACTTATTTAGGATTTAAAAAAGAACCTCTTTGAGGTATGGAATTTATTAATAATTTCCTGTAACTTCTGTCCAAAATACTGAGTAAATTTCTTTTGATAAAATACAGATTTGTGAAAGTACATAGAAGTCCCCCAGCTTCTGACATAACTGCAAGCTGGAGCAGAGTTTTAAAGTTTGGAATGATGATCTTGTTTTTTTCAGGCAGGTTTTGCATTCCTGGCTGGTGCTGGGCTTAGTGTGTCCCCTGCAGTGCCTGGTGCCCTGTCAGAGGTTCCCCTGGGGCCTGGCTCACTCTGACACTCAGTGATGTGCTGCCCCCAAATCCTGCTCTGGTGTCACAGTCGTGCACACCCAGTGCAGCCTGGTGAGCCAAGGCATCATCCCTTCCAGTGCCTCTGCCCATCCAAGACACTGAAGGTTCTTGGGAGCCTGGAAGGGAAATAAAACATTTCCCAAATGTCAGAAACACAGAAGATATTTTCAACCATATTCACCATTCTCTGCTCTGGATGTGATGTGATTATATCAGCTCTTTGTGCTACACCTGACCCCTTGATGGCTGCACAGTCTCTTGTAACACAATAACCCCTGGTTTGTTTGTTTTTGCAGTGGGAACTCCCTACTATATGTCCCCAGAGCGAATACACGAGAACGGCTATAACTTTAAGTCTGATATCTGGTCTTTGGGCTGTTTATTGTATGAGGCAAGTATCTTCTCACTTCTTTCCCCGGGTTTTCCATAACCACACAGTTTGGGACAGGAATTGAGTAGGTCAGACTGCCTGTAGTCACCTTGTTGAGAATCCTTAGAAAAAGCTGATTTGTGTTTGTCATGCACCTTCTGAGCATGAACAGAGGGTGGCTGTGCCACCCAGCACTTGCACAAAGTTAATTTAGGTCACAGATAAAGTTAATGTAGCAGATGTGGAGGATGAAGCCATGAAAAGCCAGCTCACTGCATCCCTTCTTCCTGCAGGGAGCAGAGCTCTCTTAGGCCAGCATAGTCAGAGTTTTCCTTACTGTATTTGTTTTGAAAACAGCAAATTCATTTGAATGCAAGTTACTGGTTTCTTAGATGGAATTCTGACCAATTGTGGTATTTTAATTTTGGGAACTTCCAATAAAGAAAAACAGAGGTTTTATGTAATGTGAAATCAGTGTGTCTAACTACTATATTATGGCTGGAAGTTTTTCTAATTGTACATTGTCTCACAGCTTGAGGCACAGACTCAGAGCAGACACATTTGGATGGACTGCCCAGTGTGCAGCTGGTTCTTAAAAGCTATTACATGTATTTTGGAAATAAGTGTTATGATTTTGTAACTGTGCTTTTGGTTTTGTGGTTTCATTTTTAGTAGGTATCAGACAGTGTTGTACTCCTTTATAATCTAATCAAAATCTTTTTTTAGATGGGTGTTCCTTCTAATTCAAATGACAGTGCATGCCAGCATTTAAAAAGCTTTTATCCCCACCCCGAGAATTAAAAATCCCTGGGGTATTTAGTCAAGAATATTGCTCACATCCTCTTTGGTTCACAAATTATAGGAACTGATGACATTTTTCTTGTCAACACAACTTCTGGTAATCACGTGAAATTAGAGAATAAACAGAAATGTAATTAATTTTGTGAGCACATCAGATGTGAAAACTACTATAGCTGAGCATGTACTTCAGCTGGTTGATTGAACAAACTCTGTAGGACATGATGGGATAACAGTGAATTCTCCCATAACATCTGTGAGGCTCTGGGCTGGGGGCTGTGCCCTGCCCTGGGTGTTGGCCTGGCCAGGACTGTGGGAGTGGCCCCAGTTTGGACCCCAGTGCCCGGGGGATGCTGCAGTGCTGGGTTGCTCTGACTCACTCCAGGCTGAGCTCCTGGAGATGGGATTCCAGATTTATGCAGAGAGAAATATTTAGCGTTGTGCTAAGATATGTTTTTGTTGCAGGCAATATGGTCCCCTTATGGCACAGGAGTCTTGGTACTCCTTGTATTTCAAGAAGCTGAATTAATTGCACACTAAACATAATTCTCTGGTAGGAGTAGCAGTACTACAGTAACATCTGAAAGATTTGGCATGTGAAGCGTTTTTAAATTTCCTTCCTATGTAGGTAAGCCTTAACTTAGGGAACAGGAGCTGTGAGATATTCCAAGGAGGACTGGACAGGTACCAATTTTATGTTCAGTAGTTAAACAACTACTTGCCTTCTTAAACTTTCTAGAATTTTGAAAATTAAGCATCAGATCTGGGTGTCTTTGAAGGATCTGTTTTATCTGCTCTAATGTCTTGCAAGGAGAATGTTTTTCCATTTGGCTTAGAAGTAAGGAAGGGATGCTTGTTTGGGTATGAGTCACTTCTGATATTTCTCCAGATAGATTGTGTAGATAAGCTGCAGAGAGATTTAATGTACAAATTGCCTTCAGAGACACGTGTGTCCACTGGAATCCACTTAGGGAACATTGAGGGCTTTGGGACATGATGCCACATAGCACCACTTAACTTTGACATTGATAATCATACAGTGATTTTTATTAAATCTTATCAATATAGTAGTAACTGTCTTCATCCCTCACTTCCTGTAGATATCTGTCAGCAAGATAACTTGGAGGGGATAAAAATAAGTTGTTAATTCCCAGAATGTAGCTACAAGCAATGACTTCAGCAGTTCTGGCAAGACGATCAATTTAAGCACTAACAGGGATTCCCATCTCTGGATGTTTGAACCAGTCATGCTGTGTGGTGGGCGTTTTCCAGGGAGATCTGCCTGGCCTGGGGTAATTGCTCTAATCAAAATGTCAGGAGCAAGCCCCAGTGTAGCATCACAAACTGTAGTTAGTGAGGTACTTGGAGTGCCTGTGGTCATGGCCCTGCAGCCCTGACTGCTGTAGTCACAACTGGGTGCTCTCTCTTTCCACTTTAATTCCCTGCATTTACCATCCCAAACCCCACAGTGTGTCCTTTTCATTCCTTCCCTTTTGCACATGAGCACTTAACTAAACCTGGAATGAAAAGTTAATGGGAATTGGAAAATCCCTCTCAACCTCCCTGGCATTATTGATGTGTGTCTTGAGATCTTGGAGACCCTGTTTAACCCTTGCTTGCTTTCTGTGTTTTCCCTAATGCCCCCATTAGTGATCTCCCTGGATCAGTCTGTGCTGGGTTCTCCAGTTTGTTTTAACTGATGGAGAGCAGTTTGCTATCACTCCTACTTGGAGAGTAGAGTCTCTAATTGGACTCTAATTTTTCTCCTACTGATTTGCCTACTGCTGTCATGACAGTAATGAAGTAGCAGTGGCACTTCATACTAACTTCAAGTTCTTTAAAAGACAGGTGTATGTTTTGAACCAGGAGTGGTTTACCTTGGTGTGTCCTGCACTGCTCTGCACTTGGATGTGTGTTAGTGATGTGAGGTTTTGGTGAGACCCCCTGGCTGCAGCCTCTTCCTGCAGTGCCTCTGGGAATCCAGCCCAAACAAAACTGCTTCTCTGTCACCAAATCACTAATAATCCATCAGTGCTGGTAATAGATTGGAGGATTTGGTATTGGCTCTCCTCAATTCTGCTGGGAGCTCCCTATGTGTCAGAAAGAGCCAGAGCTCTCCAGACACTTCCACTGCACAGGTAATGAGCAACAGACCATTAATCATCAAATAACTCCCTTAATGTGTAGTGAGAAGCATCAACTTCAGCTGGCCTCGGGGTGAAACTGAAAAAGATCAGATTTATGAAGAACATTTTCGGTAGTTTTGTTCTGAAGTCTGCCTGGGATACTCTTTTCTAAATAGCAGATTTCTGGCAGGAGATACATTTGTTTTGAGGTTGTTTTGAGTTTTTTTAGAAAATGAAGTACATTGCTCATGCTTGCAAGATTCTTCATATTCTAAGCAGCTAAATGTCCAAAGATAGGGAGAGATGATTGTATCTGAGAGGCTTTCAGAGTTGTCTTACAGCCAGTTGAGTTCTTGCTGATGGGCTGGCGGTCTGAGCATCCTATTCCTTGGGACTTTTCCTTGGGAAGCCTGGCAGAGCCTGGCACCAGCCTTACAGGGGCTGCAGAGCTGTTGGGGTCTTGGAGCAGCCTGGGCTGGGGAGCAGCAGCATCCCTTGCTCTGCTCCCTGCCAGGGAACAGAATTGGCTCTTGCAAACTGGCAGCACCAAGGGCTCTGAAATCCTTTGTGTTCCTGAAACATTTTCTGTTCTTTTCTCTCCAGATGGCAGCTCTGCAAAGTCCCTTCTATGGAGATAAAATGAACCTGTTTTCTCTTTGCCAAAAAATAGAGCAATGTGACTACCCACCTCTTCCAGCTGAACATTACTCTGAAAAGGTAAATTGGGAATGTGGTTCCAGGGGAATGGGGAGGTGCAGTGAAGTTTCTCCAGGCACAGGGAAAGGGAACCCAGGAGGAGAACCCCCCACATCTAGGGAAGAACAGGGGATGGCCAGGGGTCCTGGATACCTGGCTGAGCAAATTACTGTTGTAATAGTAATGTGTCTGAATATTGACAAGCTAAATCAAGATTCAAAAGAAGTTTTCTTAATGTGGGGAATATTGTGAAACTGAAAGTCCATGATGCTGGTATAAACCAGCAGTGATCCATGGGAAAGCCCTCTTGTTTCCCATAAAACATTTCATAAAAGAGCACTAATATGTTTGTTTATGAAGTCTTCAGTGTGTGACAAAGTGGGGAAGGATTCATTTTAAGAAAAAAAGAAAAGCAATTTAGGCACCTCTGCAGCAGCTGCACAGGGGCTTTTTAAAGTCCAGGTTTGTATGTCTGAACATGAGGGATGTGGGGCAGCATCTGAACCCAGTGCATAAACCCAGTAATGTCCCAGTTCCTGCTCGTCCAGCTGCAGACACGTGTGCTGGCTTTCCTCAGGGCCTCTTGAGATGAGCTTGACTTTTTCCTGCCTCACCTAGACAAAGCAGCTGGTTTTCCTTAACCTCCTCATTCCTTACAGTTGCCTTGTATTTGAAAGGAAATGGCTAATGGAATTCTAAATGTTCACTGTACCCTATGGGGTTTTTCTTTTGTTTCACTCTACCTCAGCATCCTGAGGAGGAGGCAGATGCCGGGAAATACCGAGCGCAGCCTCCACCCTGGGAGGGACCCTGCACCACACCTCACTTTTTGCTTCATTTTTCCTTGCCAAGTAACTCGTGCAAAACGGTGCTTTGAGAACTAGTCTGTAGAAGTGAATTTTTAATTTTTTTTGCCCCAAGCTCGGTGGCAGCGCCCGGCTCTGTGCGTCCCTTTGCCGTGCAGCTGCAGCTTGCATTTCAGGATATGCCTGTTGGCAGCAGGAATTAGTGTAAGTTGACAGATGTGTTTCCTGTCTTTACAATTACTGTCTGTTTGCTTCCCTCTGGCAGTGCTAAAGAGTGTGTGTAGTGCAGTGATACAAGCAGGGTGAGAAGGATGGTTTAGAGCTCAAAGGCGCCGGGTCCCAGAGAACTGCAGATGGTTCATGCACTATTAACAGGATGCTGGCAGAGGCTGTGCCTGTGGCTGCAGCTCCTCAGCTGCTGCTGCTGCTCACTGGAACAGCACAAACAGAGTTAGAACAGGGCTCCAGCACCAACAGCATCCAGCGTGGTACTTCTTGAACAAGAAAGAGGAACAAGGCAGTGTTTGGGGCAGAGCCACTGCTTCCGTTTCCTTTCAGGGATGTTCCTCTCTGTGGCCTTTTGTGCCTCACCACTCCAGATCCCCCTGTGAACAACTGCATGCTGCTGGAAGTGGGAGGAGGAGCTGGGATCCAGCCAGGATGGGTTTTCTATATTGGAGATGCTGGCTGGCAGTGCTGATCCAGGCTCAGCCCACTGGTTCTGTAGGTGCCTGTGAGGACAGAACTGCCGGGGCTGGGTCAGTGCTGCATGCACAGGGGAGCACAGCTGCTGTTTGGACAAATGGCACTGACAGCACAGGCCCTGGGCAGAGCTCTAGAAACATTTTCAGTTGTTTGTGGGAGTTTTGTTGTCAGGGCTGATACATGTTCTGTCTTTGGGGTCTCAGGGTTATGGAGGCAGCAATGTCCCTGCCCTGAGCTGGTCAAAATCACCAGAGAAAGGGGCAGGGCCAGGCAGGTCTGGGTTGGGAGCAAGGCCTGGGCCTCACTCCATCCAGAGCTGGAGACCTCAGGTCCGTTCGTTAATGCAGCTGCAGCCGTGTGCTTGATAGCTCTATGGCCATGCTTTTAATTACCGGTAAAATAATTGGCACTGTGGCTACTGGGAGGATGTGAGAAGATCAGAGGCTCAAGGCTGTTTTTCCTGGTGCCTCAGGGGTATGAGCAGCTTTCAGTGTCTGTATAATTAAAAGCTACAATCTTTCATGTGCACAATAAAGAGGGCTGGGAGGTGGGGAGACTCTAGCCCTTTTGCATTTTGTTTATTAAATATAATCAATGACCAGTTTCTCTTCCTCATAAACGTTTTTTAGGAAGCACCAGGGTCTCATAGCTGTGTCCAGTAGGTTTAGATACACAAGTGCTGGGGTTGGTGCTGGAAGGGCAGCTGAGCAGCTCTGCTCAGGCTCCCCTTCCTCAGTTCCCTTTCACTGGCAGGTCCCTCCTCACCTCCCACCTCGGTCACATCTCAGGTTTCCTTCCTTCATGTCCTATGTGTGCCACTGGTGCCTCCTTCTGTCCCATGCTCTCCCCAGCCCTGGGTGCACTTAGCCGGGTCCTCCTTCAGAGTGTAAAATATTCTGGGGCTGGGGAAGATTTAAATCTTTAGTGAGTATTTGGTGGAAAAGGTTGTTCCTCGCTCTTTGGGAGGTGGTACACAGAGATGTGAGACAGACACATGCCTGGATTCTGCCCAGAAGAGGTTCCCCTCTCCTGGTGCAGCTCCAGAGCTCGTGCAGACATTGCCTGAGCCTTTTCCAGGAAGGCAGCAGCAGATTCACTCCCCGTGTGTGTTTTGCTGTGTTGCAGCTGCGGGAGCTGGTTGGCATGTGCATATACCCCGACCCAGACCAGAGGCCTGACATCGGGTACGTGCACCAAATAGCCAAACAAATGCACGTGTGGACGACGAGCACATGAGCGCCGGGAGCAGCACAGCTCAGTCTTACTTGAATCCTTTTTCTCAGCTGAAAGCGACTGGTGCCAGGTCACACAGGTGGGAGGTTGAGCACTCGCAGCAGAGGCTCCATCATTTGCAGGTTATTTGACAAGGACTTACAGGTGGTCGTGCTTTAACGTGAAGATTCTGTGAGGTATTGCAAGTGATTCTTTTTATTTTTTATTTTTAAGGCCAATAATGTTACGGATGTAGATCATTTAAGGGTCCTTTCTTAAAACTGTCGTGTGTAATCTAGGATAGCAGCTATTACCGAGGGCTCAGCGTTTGCCAGACCTTCTATCTTAACTGTAATGTGAAATATTGAAATAATTCCTCCAGTGAAATCACTTTATACTAATGTAAGGATTACCATAGATTTTGTGTAATTTGTATAACTGCTACTTTGCCTCTTCTGCAAATGGTTAATAGCAAATTCAGTTTTTACTTGGTATATTTTAAAGCAGCCATTTATGTTTTTATTAATTTCCTCCTCTTCGGACTTAGGAGCTGGGAAGGGTTGGGGGGTGGGAAACCCTTTTGTTTCATGATTTCTTTTTTTTTTTTTTTTAATTCTAAACTTAAGAGTATTTTGCTGATGCATTTCTCTGTCAGAGATGAGTTAAACATGAGCCTGGGGAAAAGAAGACAAACATGCCAAGCAAACCCCTACCAGCCTTGCTCCTGCAGAGAACTGTTCCTTTCCCTCATTTTCCCCTTTTGGAATGGTTCTTCTTCACCTCCAGGTTCTTGTTTAAAACCAGTGTTTTTCAAAGCCAACTCAGTTTTGGTGCAGAGACTTTTACATATTCAATAGTACATCGGGTACTATCGGTGGAACTTCAGCAGTGTTTTAAACACTTGGAAAATTTTTTAAAAATAAATGAAATGCTTTGTGTATGGAATTCTGCCTAGGATCAGCCCCTTCTCTCAAACTGTGAAAGCTCATTACAGAATGTGAATGTTTATAAAATCTCAACCTGATCTGAAGGAGTCATCGTCTTTAACTGCATGAAAATTGTCAACCAGCTAAATTCATTCATTGAATCAATGATTTGTTTCATTACTGTCAATGGAAATACTCACTGCTTTAGGAAGAGCCGTGGATTCACGTTCCAGTGTCTCCATTCCATGTGCCTGTCAGGAGGAGCAGGGCTGCACTCGGTGCTCCAGAGGAAATCCTTCAGCCTGTGCTGCTCCAGTGCCGCTTCCACGTGGGACAGGGGCTTGTGCCAATGTATACATTTGTGTGTGACAGTTCAAATGCAGCCTGTGCCTGTTTTCTTTTCTTAAAGAAAGCTTACAATCCTTAACTTTTTTGAACTAAGATTAGGGTTAGGGGGTTACATACATATATATGCTTTTAGTGGATTTTTTTAACCTACTTTACTCTACTTTAAGGAAAACTGCAGTGTCATCTTCAACTACTTCCTGTAAAATTTGGGAATATTTGTATAGGGTACCAAGAAAAGCCATTAATTGCTGTGAATATGGTTGGTATCATTAATGCAAGGTGCCATTTTACTGAGGCTTCTCAGCAGAAAGTTGAGGCTGCTGCTCTTATGGGAGGATGTGGGAATTCAAATCAGTGGGAGAATGTTGTGGAGGCACCAAACTGCTCCCACCGTGTCCATGCCAAATAGCTTGGTTATTTATACCAGCTTCTTTAGCACTTCCCAGGGTTCAGCCTGAACCTCTCTGGTTCCACTGCAGCTTTCCTTGGAGCCATGGCTTCCAGGGAAGCTCAGCTCAAAGATGAGTATCTGGTCACTTTCTTGCTACATAAAATTTCGTAGTGCTTATAAAGAAATGTATTTCAAAAGGTAATTTTTTGCAATTGTGCATTTTTAGATAAATAAAAAAATATTTCCAAAATAAACACCTTTGTTTAAAAAACCAAAAAAGTCCAGTATTTAAGATCCAAGTGGAGGTGAGTAACAAGACAATCAGACTTGAAATGATGCTGCATCTGCTCTGTATCTACAGCAAACAGGGCAGCAGTGTAACATCCACATCCCCTGATGACCAGAGATACCCTGCAGTGAGAGCAGTCTCACTGTCTGTTGGAGGGGGCAAAGGCAGAAATTCAGAACCACCAATGCTCACTGGTTTTTTTATTGTCTACTAAATTAAAACTTATCAAATTAGACTTCTGCAGAGCACTTTTACTCCTGCTGTTTTGTTCCTGGAGTGAGGTAACAAAGCAGCTCCTTTTCTGCCCCCAGTGCCAGGTGGTGCCTGGAGGGAAGCACAGCTCTCACCTGCTCTAAAGGAGGAAGGGAGAAGCAGCAGCAACAGCACCAGGTAGAGACACACAGAGGAGATTGGGCAGAGCCTCTTTATTCTGCACCAGCTGCTGTCTGAGCACCCACAGGGCTCAGGATGTGTCCATGGTTTGCACGGTCTCATCCAACACCTCGAGCTCCAGATGTGCCACATTCTCTGTGAGAACAGCAGTTGTTCCTTTTTCACACTTGTATCTACCAAACCTAGTAAAGAAATGGGGGAAAATTAGTCTGGAAGATGGTACATAGGAAAACCTGCATTTCAAATTTTAGAACCCATCAGGTTCAGAATTTTCCTGTAAAAGTCCAAAGTAAAGAAACTGTACTTACTGCAAAATCTATACTGATTGCAATAACTGCCAGAGTTTCAGATAAAGCAGCAAGTTCAGGAAACTGTTTACAAAAACACTGCCATGTAACTAAAAAGGTTTTTATTTAAATTAGTGGGCTTTCAAAGTGGTGGGGGACATTTGTGTTAAAAACCAAAGAACAAGCAATTTGCTTGTTTTGCAACTCCAGAATAATTCTAACACTGTATCAGCCTCTGTTCAGCTGCTGCTGTGGCCGCTCATTTGCGCTGTTCAGTTTAAAGTCCTACGGACTGGAGATCACTGACAGAACTCGGTGTTACTGAGAACAGGCCTTGCCAGGCCGAGCAGAGACCCCACAGGAGCTTCAGGATCACTCACCTCTCCCCCTTCCTGTTGGCCACATCGTAGGGCCGGAGGAAATCCAGCTTGCTCTTGCTGATGACACAGATGTCGATGTTGCTGCCGGAGCCCAGGTCGTTGTAGATGCCGGCTGCGATGGCGTCTCGCACGAGCTGCTTGGCCTCCTCCTCCTGGGAAAGGGAAAAAGCTGTCACTGCCCCAGGGCTGGCATTGCCCAGGACTGGGCATCCCTGCACCTGTGGAGGCTGGGCTTGGAATAATAAATGATACACCAACAATAAATCAATCACCAGGTACCCAGTAAAAATGCTGCAGTTGGTTAAGTTTGTATCACTGAAGTGAAACAAAAGAGGAACTTTTTACAGTAATGGATGTAACTAAGACACAGCCACTAGTCAGAAGGAACCAGAGAGCAAAAGTGCCCATGTTACACAGCAGCACTCAGGAGTATCTTTTACACAGAAACATTTCAAATTCAAAATATCCATTAGAATACTACACCAGATCTGTAAGATCACATTCCCCCCTCACCAGAGCAGTGAAAGGAAATCCTGCACCCTCAGCTCCACTGACCCTGTGCCCTTGTCACCTGGCCAAAGGGTCAGAATGCAAGGAAAACAGAATGAATCCATATAAATATATATATGGATATATGCATATATCATACACATATATATCTTTTCAGTAGCCTAGAAAGTACAAACTAGAGAATGTAAGACCCCGTACTTTCTCTCAAAGGTGCATTACTTACTTGAAAACTGACTAGAGCTGCCTGTTCCAGTACAGAAATAGTAAGACTGGAACACATGCATGGACACAGAAGCATGGACTCGTTTTGTCCCCAGGTGTGTGCAGCAGTGGCTGCTCAGCTCACCCAGCAGATCCTGCTGGCATGCCCAGGCTCCCAGGCTCACTCCTCACTGCTTTGCTGCTATTTCACACCTTGGAATAATCCTCTGCCACCAGACACCAGAACAAGAGATGGGGTCAAGGCTGAATTTGATAAATGCAGCTTTTTGCAGTGTGCCTCATTTTCACAGCCTGTCTGTGCCAGGACCCTGCCATGTGACAGCAGCAGTGCCAGGGGCAGCAGCTCCCGACTGCAGCTGCTCCAGCCCCGAGCGCAGCTCAAGAGGAGCCCAAAATTAGCTCAGCTCCCACCCGCCTGCCCCGCACTCCCTGGTGCCCCTCTCAACAGTGGGAATGACATTATTCCTGTGCCAACAGCCACAGCAGCAGGGCACAGCCCCCACTGAACTACAGAAAGCAATTCTTACTTCGCTCTCAGTTTTACGACTATTACTCTTTATAAAATAAATAAATTGAATTACACTTTCTACCAAGCTGACTAGAACAATACAGCCATGCTGCAAAAATAATCCCTGTACCCTTCTTTTAGTGCTTTGGGCAATAAAATCCTGATAAGCAAGTAATTCCTCACTTAACTGACACAAGACTGTTGATGATTTGTTGCAGACTAAGGTTATTTTAGTACTATAGTGAAAATAAATAAACCAAAGAAGTATGTGTAGATCTGTTTTAAGAACTAACTGGTAGCAAAAGCAGAGTAATTTTAAGCTATGAGTGTTAGGTATAAGAAAAGCAGCTTAGGAAAACTACAGCAGATTGGTGGAGTTTGTTCCACTCTTCCTTTTAATTTCATCCTTCTAAGTCAACACTGTAAACCTCACAGACTCCTCTAATTTAAATCTGATTTGCTTTTCAAAATGTACTGCATCACCCTATTGTTATCAGAACAGTTCAAAAACTACCCAGTAAAGTGCAGTGGGAAGAGCTGAGCTGTAACTGCACTGAGGCAGCCACTGCACAGAGAGCCCAGGCTGTAACCTCAGCTCCTTCACTGACACAGTGCAGCTCAATCTGTGAACGTGGAATAATTGTTCCTGCTCCTCTTTTTACAGTTTAGAAAGCTGAACGGAATAGCCCCAGAAAAAGCCAAAGTACTGCTTACAGAGATCCTGCATGGAGTTCAGCAAGGACTGCTATTTGCAGTCACAAAATAGGGGGTTAGCAGGAAAGTGCTGACACAGTCTCAAGTACAGGGCCCTCAATGAGTCACTACAATAATTAATCTTAAAAAACCCTAAAAGTTCAGAGTATATAAAAGGAGCACTTCCTGCTTTATGGTTGCAAAGACCAAGCTAACTGGGAATATCCTCCTCTGGGGTGCGCAGTGCTCCTTAAATGAGATTACAGGCGGGTGATGAAGTGCAGGGCGAGGCAGCGGTGACAGGCAGCGCTTTATGGAGCGATCTGTCTGTCCCCATCACACAGCCCACAATGTGTCCCCGGGCTCCAATGTGCAGCTCCATTTACCCGCGTGTGACAAATGGCAGCGCTTGGCCGAGGCGCGGCGCAGTAATGGTCAGCACAGCTGTGCTCTGGGACACGGCCCCTTCATTACACTGACCACAGCACGGCTGCCAAAGGCTGCCTCAGCAATTGGGCACTCAAGGCTAAAATAAATAACTCAGCATGGAAGGCTAATCTGAAACACTGTTTGATAAATTATTTATAACACAGACAATTGTCTGCATTTAATATTGGCGCTACTGGTAGCATCTTTAAAAGATGATTTATGTGTTGTAATGCCATTAAGCTTTATATGGGCCCACTGCTGGCTATAAAGTCTGCTGAGATTTAGAGAATGAGTTTTAAACTGTCACTGCAACATCATAGTAGATAGAGCCTGTATTAAATCTTTACTTTAAACCTGTTATCTGGAGAGTTGCAGTTTGCAGACACTCAGAGCTGATGGATTACCTCTCACAGCTGCTCTGCCACGAGTCCCAAACAGCACCGAGGAGCAACTTTTACACATTATTCTTCTATATGACTTGGATCAACTTTCTCTTCTCACTTAAGCAATTTCCAAATTTCAAGTGCTACTGAAGGAAAAAAATGAGACTCTCCTACAGGAGATGAGGCTACTTCTACATTGTATTAATACTGTCTTCACTAATAACCTGTAAACAAGTTTATCATTATGCTCCAGCAGCAAAGGGAG